AACCTAAAGAATCTAGTGATCGGATTATTATTAAAACTATGTACTTACTTTTTCTTTAAACTGATTCCATAATTCAGAAACTTTTAATATAAATAAACATACTTTACGAAAAATTTTGCACGTATTTGACGTTTTGTATTGTTAATCACGGATAAATTCATGCGTTTGAATAGAACGTGAAGTAGGATCCTCTCCTTCCGTCGTAATATCGAGATTTTGAAGTCCCGAGATCGTCGTTATAACGAGAATCGAGTGAGTTTTAATTTTTTAAAATTATTTTCAGGAATTCAAGTATATCTTCAAAAAATTTTAATTACTATTTTTTAAAAACCTAATTTTTTCAGAATTGTCAATTTAAATCTTTCAAATTCCAATCATTTTTGTAAATTAATAAATATTTAAATACTTGTTATTCTTTATATTTACTTAAAATTTCGAAATACTTTCAATGTAAAACGATTGAAAAAATTTTTTATGAAAATTTGAACTGCAAGTCTTACAAAATTAAGTTTGGATTGAAAAAATTGAAAAATAGTTGAAATAGGTCTAAAAATTGCGTCTATAACCTTTTCAAAATTCAATTATTTTGTAGAATTATTTATTAAACTTCTTCTCTAAATCGATTATTTAAATACAAGAATTCTATTTTCTATAAATAATTTTTATTTTAACTTATCATGTTTTCTTATTAAAAGTTATTGAGATGAATTATTGAAAACATGTAACCGAAAATATTGAAAATAATTTTTAAATTCTTAAAATTAGTTCTTTAAAAATATTGAAAAATAATTTTTTAAAGGTAATAGATTTTTGAATTGATATTTAGTAAAAATGTTAAAAGAATTTTTGGAAAATATTTTTAAAAAATCTTTGGAAAATATAAAAAATAATCAAGATTCTTGAAGAACTTTAACTACAAATAATATAACTAAATTTCTATGATAAATATCTTGGAATTAGAAGTGTTTATATGAATAATTAGGGTATATATATATTAAAAGATTGGTATTTTATTAGTAGTATTTAGACCAAGAAGACTAGAGACAGGAGGTAAAACTTCGGTAGTGGGGGTATGGCAATGCTGAGTCACTCAGCTGATGTATGGTCAGGCGTTTACTTTCAAAAAAGTTTTCGCCGCAATAGACCACATGGACTTCTGCGCATCTAAACACGTAAACACGGGAAAATATATTCTATACAAATACAATATGAAATATAAAAATTTATATTTTTAAACATCTTTTAGTTATTAAAAAAAAGTTTTAAAACCAAAAAAATGTGTAAACTGTAGCATGAAGTGTATTAAAAGTTAACAAAAAGTAATAGTCATAGTGTTGTGTTTATCTTTCTTCTTGTTACAACTTTTCACACAGCACGTTTTCGGAATTTTTAACTATTTCAATAACACTTCATTTAATAATCACTCACATTATTTCTATATATATATATATATATATATATATATATATATATATATATATATATATATATATATATATATATATATATATATATATATCCGTTATGACACACATTGTGTCTCGATTGCACTTTAAAGTTAACCTCACATTAAAATCATATCATACACATGTGAAACACACGGTATACAAGAATTTGAATGTGTGAGTGATGTGCAGAAGCACCGCGCCGGCGACTTTTCGAAACGAAAAACGCCTGGTTAATGAAAGGCTCTTGACTCGTCCCCACTACCGAAGTTTCACCCCCTGACTCTACTATCGGTTCAAAAAGTATAGTCAGTTGACTTTGAAGGCTTGTAACTTGAATAAAAAAAATCGCACAATATTGAAACTGTATGGAATCAGTAAGTAATTTATTTCTACATTAATGTAAAAAATTAAAAACAAATAAAAATTTTTTTCTTAAAGTTATTAATTTTTGAAGGGAAAAAGAACATGTTTTTTGACACTATTTTCAATAAGGCCTACTTTGGTAACATGTAACTCGTTTAATGAGAGTCCTATGCTATTCCTGATTTTTTTCTATGTTCCTTAAATCTTTCTGAATAATGTTATTTAAACAAATAACCGTTATTATAATAACTTTTTGAGATTATTAAACGAAACCGTAGTTGTGTTATCTTTGTTGGAAATTAAGGTACGAAGATGAGACAAAGTACACGTTACGGAGAATACGACACTTATTACGATTCATCAACAAAAGTTTGGAAAAAAAATTATTTTAAGTAATTATTTGCAAAAGTATTTTCAGTTTTTTGCTTTATTGCACCATTAGCAGTCAGGTGCATACTACTGTAAGTCTTTTTGTCCGAGACTCCAAGTTTAGCACTACTACCCTTTTTTTGGTCATTTTTTTCTGTGGTTGAAACTGATTTATAACTTTAAAGATCTGGTTTCTAAGGATGTACAGAGGTGTAAACACCCAAAATATTTTTCCTGTCTTAAGAAATTCAAAATTGTATGTAGGTTTGGGTAGAAGTGACCTGAAGTCCTCACTTACCTGCTCATGTCTACAATAATACAGTTTATCGCATTTAAAATGTTGACGCCTATGGGAAATGGTTTATGATGGTGTGCACCTTACCGCTAATGGTGCAATAAAGCAAAAAACTGAATATAGTTTTGCAAATAACTTCTTGATATAATTTTTTTTCCAAACTTTTGTTGATGAATCGTAATAAGTGTCGTATTCTCCGTAACGTGTACTTTGTCTCATCTTCGTACCTTAATTTCCAACAAAGATAACATGACTACTATTTCGTTTAAATATCTCAAAAAGTTATTATAATAACGGTTATTTGTTTAAATAACATTATTCAGAAAGATTTAAGGAACATAGAAAAAAATCAGGAATATCATAGGACTCTCATTAAACGAGTTACATGTTACCAAAGTAGGCCTTATTGAAAATAGTGTCAAAAAACATGTTCTTTTTCCCTTCAAAAATTAATAACTCTCGAAATAATTTTTTTGTATTTCCTTCATTTTCTACAGTAACGTAGAAATGTTGTAGCTACTGATTCCAAGTTGTTTCAATATTATGCGATTTTTATTACTCAAGATATAAGCGGTCAAAGCCAACTGACTTTACATTTTACACCGATAGTACACGGAAAAAATCTAGGGTGACGTGCCGTTCCAAGTAGACCGAAAATGTACGAATGCGATACGACTTTAGTTTGGAGGAGCTGCATTTCCAACTTAGGCGTGCTGAACGCCCAAGATGCGGCTATTGCAGTTCCAAGGTTTTGAGTCTCAAATCTTGGGTGTTCAGCGCCACCGACATGGGAACGTAGATCTCCCGAATTGAGAACGTAGCACATCCAAACTATAGTTCCCCCACTTTCCAAAGATTGGGATTGCACGGTACTCAACATTTTTTCAGTGTAGCCTTCTTGATTTAGACCCTTAAATGATTATTTTTTATGAAATAAGAATAATATTAATTAAATTTTGGAACTCTGCACTGTACCAATTATGGAACGATGAATTTTTGTATGTACGGGTGTTCGAAATTGAATGTCCCTTAGGGTGGTCCAAAAAAAGAAGGTCGGAATTTTTTTGCTCTCACCCCCTAGGATTAAAGTTTATACAAAAAAATACCCCTGTTTTTTTTTGATAATAAATTAATATTAACCCGTGCCTCAAAGCCCCTCAAATTTCCCATGTATTTTAAATGGGGAAAAAACGATTTTTCGTAAATTTAATATAAAATCTAGAGGAAATTTTTTTTTCCAGTAGGTCCAGGATATTTCTTTTTTAAATTGTTCAAATAATGAAATACTTCTAGATATTTTACAAATTTTTTATTTTTTATAGATTTTTGAAAAATTCTCAAAAAAGCAAAAAACGGTAATTTATTATTTGTTATTAGTTATTATCATTTTTTCTCATCGATTGTAATTCAATTGGTTCAATGAATTTATATTTATTATTTTTTGATAGATTCATAAAGCCAATTGTATTACAATAGGTGAGAAAAAATGATAATAACTAATAAAAAATAATAAATTACCGTTTTTTGTTTTGTTGAGGATTTTTCAAAAATCTATAAAATATATAAAAATTAAAAAAAATTGTTAAATATATAAGAGGATTACAATCCTTGAACACTTTAAAAGAGAAACATCCTAGACCGACTGGAAAAAAAAATTTTCTCTAGATTTTATATTAAATTAACGAAAAATCGTTTTTTCAAATTTAAAATACATGGAAAATTTGAGAGTCTTTGAGGCACGGGTTAATCAAATCCTTTGAAAACGATTGATTCCCCAAAATTTTAATAATACTCAAAAATTAAATTTCTAAACAAATTTTAGTGTTATTTTTTTTGTAGATATTCGAAGTTTCGAAAATATGTCATTGAAAATATTAAAAGAAATTGAATTTTGAAAAATATGAAAAACTTAGCTAAGTATTACTTTTTTAAAAAATATTTTAATACAATTTTTTAAAGGTAATTTCCATTAATTTATATTAACAAATTTTCTTTTTAAGATCTTTCATTAAAATTTTTAAGAATTCAATTACTTTAAAAATTTGCGATTAAAATTCTTCAAAAAACAATTAGTATTCTTAAATAAATTTTACAAAATTTCAATTATTTTAAAAACTTTGTAATTATATAAACAATTGAGAGAATTTATCACTCTGTGTAAAACTAGATGAGATTTGGTAAATATCAATCCTTCGAAGTCAGGAAAAGAAAATAATATTTTTTCATTTCTGAAGACAACAGCTGTGCTGTTGAAACGTAAAAAATATTGATTTGTTTTCCTAACTTGGAAATACTGATATTTACCAATTCTCATTTTTGTAATTATAGTAAATGTCAAAAATTTAATTATCTCACAAAAATTATTCAATTATACGTTTTGAAAGATTTGACTATAATTACTTTTCATACTATAAAAATCGAATTAAGTTTCAATTTATACTGAAAAAAGTCGTATTTTGATAATTGAAAAAAGTAGAAAAATTTGAGGCCTGTAATAAATTAAAAACATACATTTAAATACATACCATTTGAATTGAAGAAGGTTTATAATCAACTTTAGGAAATTGAAATTCCTTCCTAAGATTATTTTCATCTTGATGTTTTTTATTTAATGGAGACAAATTGAATTTAAGTGCCGAAGATTCTTGAAAACTTTTCAATGGTGTAAGACGATTTCCTTTAGATTCATTTGAAACTCCTAATGGTTGCGGCGTTAATAACCATTCATTATTTTTTCCCTGAACATTCTTGACTAATTTTGTATCGGTACCTCTTATATATTCAGCAATTGGCGATTTTACATAATCATACAGATTTTTCCTCACATCTGGAGTTCGAGGACTCTTTAAACTATTTGCCATTGTTTGTGAATTGTAAATACTTTCCACTTGTGGAAAATATTCTTTTTTCTGTTTTACAGCGTCATTTCGTGGACTTTTTCCTGGTGTGAAGAAGAATTTTCTTTTTGGCACTGTTGTCTCTTTCTTTTCCATAATCTTTACTTTCGTGTCGATGGGAGCTTTCGATTTCACTGAAAATAGACGGAAATAAAAGAATTAGAATAAAGAATTAAGGATAAAAAAATAGAATAGTGAAAATTAAAGAAGCTTTTTTACCTGATGAAATAGGAGTTTCTGTCTTCTTCAATTCGGGACTATTTTCTAATTTTGAATCAGAAGATACTGGATTTTTAAGAATGTGAAAAATGGATTTTCTCTTTTTCAATAGAAAATCTTGATACTCCATGCAGTGATTGATTGTATTTAGAAAATCGAGATTATTTGATGGTAAGGAGAGAGATTTATTAGGACTTGCTAATTTTGCGATAAGTTCCGCTGTTTTCTTTACTTCTGAATTATTGGTAACTGTGGGATCATTTTTGTCAATTTCCATTATTATTTTCGCTGTTTCGAAACATCTTTGCCTTCTCTGTGCAAGTTCTGCCAAAAAACTCTTATCCATGTCGTCTTCACAATTGAAACTATACTCATTGTTGGCTTCATTTTGATGAAATATTGATTTTTTCTCAATTGGTTGACATTTTTTTTCCTTTATTAATTTTTTTGGACTGAACGTTATATCCCTGTAATTTCGAGACTTATAACCAATTCGACTCTCATTGATTGCAGTGTCATCTAAAGAAGCCATTTGACGATCGCAGGTTGATTTAATATTGTTGAATCTTGTGACTGGTGAATCAGGTAATGATAAACTTCTTCTTAATTTTTGTGGTGAACCTCGCTGGGGTAAAAATACACCATTACACATTGTTTCCCAATATTCGAATGAATTATTTGTATCATTAATTCGACCATTTTTCCTGGCTTTATTAAATTGTTTCTTATCAGATTTCGGCGTGGAATCAAATTTAAAAATACCTTTAGGTGTTTCTTGGTAAGTTTCGATTTCCCTAATTCCATTCTCTCTATTAATTGGTGTTGACGAAAATCTTTCCAATTCCTCCAAACAAGTCTCATCAGCAAATTCGATAGTTTGATTTTCTATTTGTTCTTCTTGAATATCTGATGTTATTAGCCATTCTGGCATTGACTCATCTTCAATGAATTTACATAATTTGCGAAATTCCTGCGTCATTCGATGTACACTGACACCGGAATAATCTTTTGGATCAGATATTGATGGCATTACAGATTCTTCTATTATTGTCACCAATTTTTCAGCAAATTTTGCTGGTGACAAATGAAATTCTTGGGAAAGTCTACTCAATACTTTTTGATGTGATTGTACACCACTTTTGTCTGAATTTAAACTTCTATTAAAATTTGTGAGGGCATTCCATAATTTACTTGGTTCTTGACGACATGTTTCAATTCGAGATTGAACATTATCCTTTTCTTGTTTCAATTCTAAGGTTTTACTGATTTTATTTAAAACATTACTTATTGGTGATATGCTTTCTATTTTTCCCTGATTTTTATATGTTTTTATAATTTTCGGCGAATTTTGCTGTTGAGTCTTTAATTGAGATCTCAATTCAATAACTTTTTGAAAAATAGTAGTATCTGCACTTATTGTTTCATTTGATTTTATATTAACCATTTTCTTCTTTTCTAATTCTATTTCCATAGAATTTAATTCATAAATATCTATCTCTGTATTCTCCGCTTCTATTGTACCTTGAAAAAAATAATATGAATTAGAAAATATATACTGCAATTGAAATGCGAATTTGAAAATTGTTTAAATTTTAATAAATTAATCTCGCAAAAATAAATTAAAAACACTTTTTGCTGTCAATGAAAACTAATTAAAATATTAAAGTGAATAAATTATCTGATAAAATCAATAGTTTACAAGGTTTACAATTTTAAATACACTGTAAAAAAAATTTTCTGTAGATTTACAGTTTTGTTTAGAATTTTATAGAAACTTGTAAAATAACTTCTTTAAAAGTAGTGAATTTAAAATCCCTTCTGTAAAATTAATACTTTTAATGTGTCAATTTTACAATTTTCTGTAAATTTACTACTCTGAATGTAGGTAATAAAAAGACAAAAATATTACCTACATTCAGAGTAGTAAATTTACAGAAAATTGTAAAATTGACACATTAAAAGTATTAATTTTACAGAAGGGATTTTAAATTCACTACTTTTAAAGAAGTTATTTTACAAGTTTTTATAAAATTTTAAACAAAACTGTAAATGTACAGAAATTTTTTTTTACAGTGTAATTATTTAATTGAGGTTAGGACATGCTTTTGTATTTTTTGTATATAGAAAATTCTTTTTTACAAAATAAATAAAAAGGTTTAATAAAAATTTATTAACTTACGATTATATTCCAATAATGAAGATGTAAAATCGCCACTACGGCGTCTTCTAGAATTCATTGTTTTTCATAAAAATATCCACAAATTTTGTAACCGACACAAATCACAAACAACTTTACAATAACGACGGTCGGACAATAACGACAGTTGCGATACGTCAGATTACAACTTTTACCGATTCCACGTATTATACTGTATATAAAATACGTCAATTTACGCAATCTATAAAAAAATTGTATTTTATAAGATGTATATACTTGCATTAAATGCAAAAGAGCACAGACAGTTCGTCATTGTAAACAATTTAATGTGCACATTGTTTATTATTCACATAACTAAATGTTTGAATTTTTAGTTTTACGTGTACGTTGTCATGACAACCGACACGCAGCAACAGCGTAATTAGGTAGTCCAAGTTGGGTGGGGGAAATTCAATATGGCTGACATCAGCTGATTTAAGGCCAACGCAGAATAGATCTGTAACCGGAACCGCAATCGTGAGCGTAACCGTAAGAATGAGTTAAAGAAGGATAGGTATATTGTTTATCCTTCTCTAACTCATTCTTACGCTTACGGTTACGATTGCGGTTCCGGTTACAGATCTATTCTGCGTTGGCCTTTACCGGAGGACAAACAATGCATTGAATTCAATGGGACAAATCAGTTTTTTAACCATAACTTTTTAAATATTCATTTTTGAACCATAGTGTAATGGAAAATTATTCTTTATTTATCGAAATCTATTTTTTAAAACAATGAAACCAAAAAATTAAATTTTATTGTTTTAAAAAATAGATTTCGATAAATAAAGAATAATTTTCCATTACACTATGGTTCAAAAATGAATATTTAAAAAGTTATGGTTAAAAAACTGATTTGTCCCATTGAATTCAATGCATTGTTTAGGTGCTTCTCGTGCTTCTATACCTCCGGTGGATTGGTCAAGCAATCGGCTCGATGAATTTTCACGGTCGGAAAATGTACTTTCATGGCGGGTATTTTTGAATAAGTAAATGTTGAAAAGGTTTTTACTTGAAAATTTATTTAAAAAAATGATTTTATCATAGAAATTCTTTTGAAATTTATGTTAAAAAACATGTTTTATTTTAAAAGTTATCAAATTTTAATTCAAAATGTTTTAATTTTCCAAAGAAGTGTAAAAAGCCTAATGTTTTTGAAATGCTAGTACAGACGGTACAGACTGTTTGTTATGAATGTACATAACCTAGCGTTGTGTTGTCGTGCTTGTGATATTATTATATTCTAAATTTAATGATTTAATTATATTAAATAATAATGAACAGACAACACAACGCTAGATTATGTACATTCATAACAAACAGTCTGTACCGTCTGTACTAGCATTTCAAAAACATTAGGCTTTTTACACTTCTTTGGAAAATTAAAACATTTTGAATTATGTAAAATTTGATAACTTTTAAAATAAAACATGTTTTTTAACATTACTTTCAAAAGAATTTCTATGATAAAATCATTTTTTTAAATAAATTTTCAAGTAAAAACCTTTTCAACATTTACTTATTCAAAAATACCCGCCATGAAAGTACATTTTCCGACCGTGAAAATTCATCGAGCCGATTGCTTGACCAATCCACCGGAGGTATAGAAGCACCTTTTGTCCTCCGGTAAATCAGCTGATGTCAGCCATATTGAATTTCCCCCATCCAACGGACTACCTAATATTTGATTAGACAATTTTTCGCGCCATATTTAAAAAAAATAAATAAGACAAAATAATAGATAATAAACTATATTGTTTGAAAAAATAAAATTATAAGTACTCACCGACTGTAGATTGTTTTCACAGTCATGATGACTAGTGGGGCAAGTTGTATTTTCTGGTATCATCCTGCCTGTTAATCTGAAAAAATTAATAAAATATTTAAAAAAATTATTATTCTATTAATTCATCTACAAAGCAATTGTTTAGTTACTAATTGTTACTAATCTCATATCCATATGATAAAAATAATGAAGTGTTTTTCAGTTTTATTTAACTTTTTTCCAGCTACAAAAATTATTATTTATTATTATTATTTTTACCTTAAAAGCACTTACAAAATACTTATAATTAATTATTTTCTTTTTAACCTACTTAAAAATTATTTTAATTATTAAAGCAATAAATTTTTAAAATTAAATAATGGGTGTTACGAAAAAAAACTCTCTTAAAATTTGTTTGCATGAAAACTATAACACTCCCGATTTTGAAATGAAAAAATGAACTTTTAATTTTAAAAAATTATTTAATTATATTAAATTTTTAAAAAAATATTACAACACGAAAGAGAAAATTCGAAAAAACTGTGCTGAAAACTTAAAATGAAAACTGTATTTTTGGTTATATTTTCCAATATTTTCTTCGGACAGAAATACCACTCTAAACAAAAGAAAATTTTAATCATTGACAATTCTACCAACATGACCAACAGGACAGGACTAGAAACCTAACCTTTAAATTGCACAAAATAATAAACCGCAAGTAAACATTGCAAGCACCAAATAAACCGACTATAAAAACAATTGTTGTAAACCTGTATGTAAACATAGTTTAAACAAATGTTAATCAAGGTAATTAAGAATAGAAATATAAAATTTAAATAAGAATAGTCAGTGAAAATGCATGGGAAAAAAAGACGGGCGAAATAAGAGAAATGGTTTACTTCGCCCGTCAGTGAAAATGCATGCGGGAAAAAAAGACGGGCTTATAAATAAGAGAAATAGTTTATTTCGCCCGTCAGTAAAAATATATGATTACTAATTAAAAATATTTGTAAATTTTTCTGTTTTTATTTTGAGGAGGAAGGAGTCATTCACCTTGGGTTGGAAATTTTTTTTATTATCAAAATATAATTGATAGGAGGGATAATTGTGATATTTTTTGTTTTTTATTTTTATTTTTAATTCTAAAAAACCCAAGGTGGATAACTCCTTCTTCCCCAAAATAAAAAGAGAAAAATTTACAAATATTTTTAAATAGTAATCATATATTTTTACTGACTGGCGAAATAAACTATATTTCTCTTATTTCGCCCGTCTTTTTTCCCATGCATTTTCACTGACGGGCGAAATAAACTATTTTTTTTATTTCGCCAGTTGACGGGCGAGTGAATTATTATTATATTATATAATAATCGACATAATCTGTCCTCACGTGAAGTTAGTGTTTTATTCCAATTTTTTGTTTTATATAGTTCGAATTGTTATGTCAAAAGTTTGAAAGTTAATTAGTAAATAAGTGGAGTAAGAAGATTTAACCCTCGATTTAACCCAAATTTCAAAAACTCAATAAAGAGGTATAGTTGCAATTTTTAAAAATAATTAATTAATCTATGAATTATTTATTTTTTTATTTAAATACTTAATTGAATTCTGATAAGAACTGATTTAAAAAAGAATTTTTGTCAAAACTTTAGGAAATAATATAAAAGTGCTAAAGTAGGATTCTTTAGAAATAATTAAATTTCAAAAAGTTTTTAAATTGCCAAATCTTTAAAATTCTAATTGGTGTAGAAGTATAATAATATTTAAATATAAAAAATTAATAATTTTTTAGCTTCCTTAAAAATTAAAAGTTTTCAATAATATTATTCAAAAATTCAGTTCAAATTTTCATAAAAAATTTGTCCAGTGGTTTTACATAAGAGCTGTGCAAAATAATTCGGTTCGAATTTTTTCGCCTAGTTCGAATGTCGAAAATTCGACATTCGAATTGCCTAGTTACTACAAAATTCGAACCAAACCGAATTTGTTCGGTTATGGAACGCTAAAATGTCGAATTTCCAAAATTCGACATTTCAATCGCCTAGTTTGAATGTCGAATTTTCGACATTCAAGTCAGTTTAGTTCAAATGTCGAAAAACCAACAATCGAGTTAGCCTAGTTTCCGACATTCAACATTCGACATTCGAACTAGGAGATTCAAATGTCGAATTTTTGACATATTTCGGCGCCCTAAAACCAAAATAAACTCGATTCGAATCGAATTTTGCACAGCTCTATTTTACATTGACTCAGGGTGTCTAGCGTCCGGGAAAACCGGGAATTTGCCGGGAATTTAGTTCGACCGGGAAAAACCCGGGAAATTGCCGGGAATTGAAAAAAATATCCGGGAATTTTTGGAAATTTTCTCTAATTCATTAAAATCTATAAAAAAAATTTCAATTTAAGGTAGTTCTCCGGCTGCTACTCTTTTAAAAATTGATTTTCGATAGATTTTCTTCAAATTTTGAGGAAATATTTCTTCGGATGCCTTTTAAATGTGATAGAAACTTCAAAACCTTTTGCCATGTCAAAAAACGAGATATTGTGGTTGACATTTTTTATTTTTAACATAAACGCATGGAAAAGTGAAAGTTTGAACTTGAATAAGTCAAAATTTAGCATCGCAAAGGGTTTTGAAATTTTTACCACATTTAAAGGGCACCAAAAGAAACATTTCCTCAAAATTTGAAGAAAATAAATTTTTACAAGAGTAGAAGCCAGAGAACTACCTTCAGTCATATATTTTTCAAAAATGAAAAAAACATATATTATAAGTATATGTATAGGCAATTTCACGTTAAATTTCAATCCACATTTTCAATTAGGATGAAAATATATTATTGTAAATCTATTTTTTCATTTTTTATAGGTAACCAAATTTTTGGATTTTTAAAAGTAGACTCTAAAATCTATAACTCTAAAACTATTGAATTTAGAAAACTTATCTAATACATACTTACAAATAATAAGGATAGTTTGCAAAAAATATTTTGGTCCCCCTATAGAATAGAAAAATAAAGGATACGTATACCTTTTTTCTAAAAGGAATAAATAAAATATAAAGTAAAGAAGAAGGAAATCTTTACTTTTCTTTACTTTATTATACTTGGCTTAAAATGAAAAAGGAGTTATACACTCCATATACTATAAATAAAATATACTTGTGACGTAGAATTGACCGTATATTGTTATTATTTATATAATTGTTGCATACATTTTTAACATTTTAAAGTCTTCAATTAAAAGTTTAATTATAAATCCTAATATTTTTAACTTATTGCAGTTGAACCTCAGTGACTTTTAATGTAAATATCTAAAAGAAGACATAAATGCCATTGGGTATTGCAAAATAATTCCGAAACAATCATTTATCCACAAATATAAAAAAAATAATTGCAATTTCTATTATTTGAACTTTTCATTATCTGAACCAGATCCTGCCTGAATTAGTTCGTATAATTCAGTTTCCACTGTATTTAAAAAATTATGAAATTTTAATAGTATAGTTTGCCGGGAATTTGAAAATCATAATTCGCTAGACACCCTGGTCATTGAATTTTATTTTTTCATTTGTAAAAATTATCTATAAACATAATTGTATTTTTGAAAAAAAACATTATTTTATGAGTTTACAAAAATTATTCTATTTAAATAATTAAATTCTCGTAGTTGAATTCTGATAGGAATTGATTTAAAAAAAATTTAGTTAAAATTTTAGAGAATAATTGAATATTTAAAGCGTTATAACAGGAATTTTATGAATTAATTATATTTTAAAAGATTTTGAAATTAAATTCTTTAAAAATATAAGGGAAGCAGAAGTATAAAAATATTAAAATTTTTATTTTAAAAAAATTATTAATTACACTATTTTTCTTTAAAAATTCTTAAAGTTTTCCAATAATTTTATTCATAAATTCTAAAAAAATAATTGAATTTTGAAAGAATTACAATTGCAATTTGTAGAAATAATTAAATTTCAAAAGGTTTTTTATTGAAAGTATATGAAATTTTAATTCCTGTTTTTAGAAACAGGAACATTTACAAATTCCGAAAAAATTTATTTCTTGAAAAAATGTAATTAAAATTTTTTAAAAATAATAAATTGTATTTCCGAAAATAATTTTAATAAATTGAAACAATTGAAAATTTTGTCAAATTTCATTAAAATAAATTTTATTTGTTTACTTTTAAAAATTATTTTGAAATATAATCGTATTTTTGAAGAATTCTAATTGCAAATTTGGAAAATAATTGAATTTTAAAAAAATTTAGAATAAACTTATTACCAGGATAGTTCCAGTGGTACTCGAAGGTTCAATTATTCAATCAAAAATATCTTACATTCAATTTGCTGTTATAGAAATATCTTCCGATTTCTATACGAGTTGTTCAAATAATTAAATATAAAGAAAAATTGTTAGAAAAATGATGTATTTTAAAAAATGAAAAATTTTCATTAAATTTCAAAAACCAAATTTTGGAAAGTAATAAGGGCAAAGAAAATGTGTAGTTTTCCTTGCATCATTATAAAAGAAACGAATAAAAAAACAATAAATGTTTATAACTTTTATAATATATTATATGAATTTAATTAATTTTGGGTTTCTTATTACAATGTATTATACCAGATTTTATTTTTTATTTAATATATTATAATTTATAATTTTCAGAATCAAAGAAATTTACAAGAGTGAAAAATAAAAAGGTGAAAAATGTTACCAAACATATTTAGAAAGATTAGTGAAAAACAATTTGTTCTGCGAAGATATTTTGATAAAACTAAATGTTCTACTTTCAGAAATAATAATTTCACACATTGTAGATGCCTAAGTATAACCAGTAAATACATAAAAACAGATAATTATCCACTGAATTCTCTTTCAGAGAATACTCAAAGATTTTGCACTAATATTGCAACTGCAAGAGATGAGAATTTTCTCGAATCTGAACCAATAAAATTGCAAAATACAGAAATTACTAATGGAGACATTGAAAAATTATTAAATTTAGATTGGACAAAAATTACAACAGAAGAATTCATTCATAATTTTGGAAATCTCTATTTGTATATTAGACAAACGAATGATTTACTAAATATCAATTTTGATAATCTTTTACAAGGAATTTCATTACTGACTTCTAAATTTTCAACCAACGAAATAATTTTCATCTTTAGGCATACAGCTTCTTGGAAAAATGGATCAGAAAATGTTTTAAAATTAAAGCAACAAATATTATCAAATTTTAATGTTGAATTAATAAAGAGATTAAAAGAATTCAATTTTCATGATCTACAATTACTCTGTCAATCATACAAACACGTTGCTCTTGCGAAAAAAAGTCCTTTTGTTTTGAAAGCAATATATCGCATGAATGGTAAAATGAAAAAATTAACTCCACTGGAAATATCCAAATTTATGCAATTAATTGCATATTGTAGTAATCTTCCATTAAACTTTTACAATATTGAATACGCTATTGAAAAAAAATGGGACACCTTTGAAATTAATCAAATTTTGTACATATTTTATGGATTTTTAAGAAACGAATACAAAATTAGAAATAAAAACATGAGAGAATATATTTATCAATTTATTCTAAAGAACATAAACGAAATTGACACTGCACATATAAATACTGTTTTCCAATATTTAAGGTATGTGTGATTTGTTTTAAAAACATATTTTAAAAATTTTATACTAATTATTCGGTTGTTTTTTTAGTCTTCTGTATAAAATAACTGACAATTTTGATGAAATTATTCAAAGAATATTAAAAGCCATTCAACCAAGATTGGGCGAACTTTCTTTGAGGAATTTGTCTAACATTCTTAATCTAGCAGCATCTGTTACTATCCGTGATGAAGTATTGATTGCTTATATTACGGAAAGGTAAGATCTTTTAATTAAATTCAAATTCTGAATTTAAACGTTCTGAACGTTAAAATGAACGGAATTCATTTTATTTCCTTTATAAATTCAAATTTTACTAGAATTATATTGCGTGACGTATTAAAAAATTATTACTTTCTTTTTATTTTATTACTATTTTATTTTATTTTCCAAATAACAATTTTTGTAGGTATTCTCTCATTCATTCTGTCCGCATTCTGAAGTTAGTTTTTGTTTTTTTTTTATAAAAAACATTGTTTGATAAATCGAAAGTATGTAGGGATTTTTTATTTATTTATTTATAAAAAAATCTTAGAATCTTAGAAAATAATTAAAAATTTATGATTAAGAAATGAAAAAATTTTTCATTTTCTTATATTTAATATACCTATTTTTCAATAACAATTTTGTAGGGGAGTATAGTCGAGGTTGGACCACTGTCAAGGTAAACCATTCGAGATTTTTTGGACAAGTTCACTACCGCCACCTACGCGCATGATTGTCAAAGCTTGACTTAGTGACACCTAACTTTTTGTTATATTCCATTTTTGGAGTATTAAATGTAGTGTTTTTATGACCTCGGTCCAAAAAAAGCTCAAAAAAATTTTTGTGCATCATGTGAAAAACCATTAATAAAATATAAAAAAAACATGGAATCCTCAAGGCAAGCATGCAGATGTATTGTTGGATTCATGATTAAAAAAAAAATAAAGTGAAAAATTGAATCCGGAAACTTATCTCTTCTTGGTTAGAACAATTCGACAATGGTGCATTTTGTTAAGGTCGGACCACCATTTATAATACATGAATTTGACAGATACTTTTTTAATTAAGTTAGTTTGTTTTTTGTATTTGTAACTCTTTACAAGTTGTAAACAATAAAGGATACATTTTTGGTAACGCTAAAAATGTTATTTTATTTTTTAACGGTAATGCCCTTTGAATTTCAAACATTGTCCGACCTTGACTGTAAAGACGCTCTCACAGCTCTGCAAACCTGCCAATGCATGCATAGTTGTCATGGGAACACATGAGAGTAAATAAGTCAGAAAATTCAAAATCAATGTTTTTCTCTCTTACTCTCATGCAGGAAGTATTGCTGTGCGAGCGCCATAAGGGCCAACCTGGACTACAAATTTTTTTTTTTTGAAATCTTTATAACTTTTTCATTTTAAAATTAATCAATTTACTTTGTACAGAAAAAATATTTCTATTAAGGGGCACACCTAGTGTGAGTGACTGAAAAAAACGTCGATTTTTAGAAATTTTTTTCAGGGAAATTATTGCATCTAATTTTTTTTAAAGTTTTGTACATGTATATTTGTATAAATAGTGAACATTTTGTAATTTTTGCAAAGAAAAATATCTTTTTTTTAAAGAGTTATTCGCTATATAAAAAAAAACCAGTTTCTCCACTGCTGCAGTTATTGCGGCCTTCTGAGTGACTGAAATCAAAAAAACCAAAAAGATTATTAAACTAGAAGATATTTGCCATACTATGAGGCTCCAGTTTTTTTTTTTTTTGATGAAAAATAAAATTCTGGGATGCCAAAAACTATCGGATTTTTTAGGCGAAATTTATAAGCTTTTTTCAAAACTCCGCCATTTTGTTGCAATTCAATATTTTTTTTCGTCCGAGGGTCATTGTACGGCAAATATCTTCTAGTTTAATAATCTTTTTGGTTTTTTTGATTTAGGTCACTGAGAAGGCCGCAATCACTGCAGCAGTGGGAGAACTTTTTTTTTCGGATACTCAGGAGATAGCGAATAACTTTTTTAAAAAAAGATATTTTTCTTTAAAAAAATTACAAAATGTTCACTATTTATACAAATATACATGTACAAAACTTTAAAAAAAATTAGATGCAATAATTTCCCTGAAAAAAATTCCTAAAAATCACCGTTTTTTTTCAGTCACTCACACTAGGTGTGCCCCTTAAACAGGACTTTCCAACAATATACTTCAATTGGCCAAATTTATTTTTAAAAAAAGTTATAAACAAAACTCAAAAGGTGGTCCGACCTCGACTATATTCCCCTACACAAAATAATAAGTTTCTGTTTAGAAAGAAACAATTTGCATAATTCCTATTTAGTCCAGTCACCCTATGTTTTTTAAATGATATAATTTGCACCATTTCTATTTCCAAATTACAAGTTTATAACGAAATTTCAAGTTATCTTTCTAGAAATAAAGAATTTTTTTTTATAAATTTGTTAATTGTTATTGTTAATAATATAAATTTTAATTAAAAATAAAATTGAGAATATCAAAAGAATCTTATAAAAAAAAGAAAAAAAATTGTTTTATACAAAATCATGTCTTTATTTTTTTTTAAAGAAACAAATTTGGATCATATATATTTCTCATCACAATTTTTTAATGAAACTTCTGGTTCTTTTAGAAATAAAGGAAATTTTTTTTATAATTTCGATTTGTCAATCACAATTTTTAATTGAAAATAAAACTAAAAGTTTTAAAAGATTTTTATAAAATAGTAAAGATTTTCTATTTTTTTATCACAATTTTTTTACCAAAATTAGAATTTTAGTTTTTTAATAAGTTGAGATTATTAATTATAAAGAATTAATTATTTAGTATTTTCTTAATAATTGATCTAGAATCTACACGCTAGCTTTGGCGCGCTTATGTTCCACTGTAATATATTATTTTTTTAATTAAAAAATTTTTTAAATAATTTATAAATATTTATATCTAATATTGTTAAGTGCACACGGTAATAAATAAACTATCAAGATTGATTCAAGCTTGAATAAAGATGGGATGTTTAAGCTTCACTCACGAAGATTGACCGAGTCTTGAATCGAGCATGGGACGAACATTGGTGTCCCATGCTGAACCAATATTGAGTGACAATGATATAAAGACTGCTTCAACTCTGGGTTACCCACGCTGGGCGTTCAAGACTCAATCAAGCTTCAACCCATCGTCAGCATTGGTCTTTCGCGCCTGGGTATACTTAAAAGTTGATATTTTCTTTTACGAAAAAATTTTCAAATGTAGGGTGAAAAAAAAATTTAAATATGGACACCACAAAAATGAACAGAATGTCACATAACTCCGGACATTTATTTAGGGTGATAACACCCTTCTATAATTAAAATTGTAATGCTCTAACTATTTCAGTTCGAAAGATAATGAATTTTAACTGTTTTCACAATTTAACTTTTTGCCCAGTCTCCCCTACTTTTTTAATTATTATCACAGTCAGTAATTTTTAAAAATATTTATATATAGTGATAAAATATTTCCATCATTTGAACGTTCAAAATTTATCGAAAATGATATATGCAACTTTTTAATCACATATTAATAAATGATTTAAATTAATTTAAATTCTCGAAATAGGTTTGCGAGTGAAATGCACAATTTAACACTGACAGATATCGAAAGAATTTCCTGTAACATGTCAGTATTTAATTACGCCAATCATCCTTTTTATAATGATGTTTTGAACGAATTGAATAATCCAAGTCGACAGGAGGAGATTTCAAAGTAAGTTTCGGTAAAAGAAAAAATCGACATAATTATAGATATCAAGAGTAGGTATACATACATACATATATATAAATACTTTATCTGCAATGTTTATTTTTTTACATTATTTTAGTCACACGAGAGCATTTATTCGTATTCTACAGAGTTTGGTTTACGTTAATATCTATCCGGAGAATTTAATATCAAAAATCATGGATCAAGAATATATAGATAAAAAATATAAGAGTCCGTATGCAATGATTGGTTGTCATTATTTCATATATAACTCTCTGATTATTGAGCGTCCTAATTATTCAGGACATTTATTAAGCGAGAAATTACAAACGCATTTTTCAAAGGTGAATTAATTATCTATTATTTACATGAAAATAAATTATTTATTTAAAAAATATTTTTTGCGCTTACTATAATATGATTTCAGAAATTTAAATCCCATGAGCTGACGGAAAACAGTGTAAATAATATTACGGCAGAAGTCCTTAAAATATATGAAGTAATTATCACATTTATCTATACATACAGATATTATTATTATTATTGATATAATAAAATTTTTATTTACAGAGAATATTCAAAAAACCGGCTTATTTTACTAAAATTATGCCTCACTATTATACCGAAGATATTGTGCTTTGTTATGATGAAAATGATAATCAAATTTCGCCGGAACCATTTTTATCACAATATCCAAAAGGTATTGTGAAACGTATTCCTGAAGAGGCGAAAAACTACAAATGGTTGTCATTGATCGTAACTAATTGGCGAATGAGGCTTAATGGCAGTGAAGAATATAGTGGGCTTTTAGCAATGAGATGTAGACAACTCAAAATTCTTGGCTATACACCAGTTGCGGTAAGTCTATTTTTTTAAATAATTTATGCTAATTATTTTACTTCAGATATATAAAAAATTATTTCTTGCTTTTCAGCTTTGCCATCGTGAATGGAACTCACATGAGGATGATGACGAACAATGTGAAAAATATCGAGAGAATTATTTAAGAAAACTATTAAATGTTAAATAATATGTTTATAAAGAGTTGAAATGTTCAAAATGAATATTATTTCTCGTAAAATTCAATTGCATTTAAAAAATTTGTTTAAAAATAAATTAAGCATTTTTACAGTTTAAATATTTGTATATTTTTAAGCACAAATAGTTTTCATAAAATAAGTTTTCATAAAAAAATAAATAACATTTTAATAAAAAGTTTCAATTATTGTTAATATTGTCGAAACTATTTCGATGGCATTTAAAAATGCAAAATTATTAATTAATGTAGGAAGCCGGCAATCGACTAATGTAGTGAACGAGCTTTGCGGTCTGCCCATTAGCCTGGGATTTTTCCGGCACGTGAGATAATCTGAGCGGGAGGTTTGACGTCGAGGTATAATGATGTGCACCGTCGATTATTGTCTGGTGCACACCATTAGAACTCGACTGTCGATAAACCAGTTGTACTCAGGAGAGGTTTTCTACAGTTTCCCTCTCCACTGGCGAGAAAACCCATTAGACGGGTGGTCCAGGCAAATGCGAGTAGGGGAAGTGCGCCGGTTGTGGGCACCCCTACGTAAACTTCGACGGCAAGCAGACTTTACTGATCTAAGTATTGCAAGTCGTGTTCGTTGACAATACGGACTTTTCGTATTGATAACGAAACAAATATATGCATTTGTGTAATAGCTGTGAGCATAATAAAGAAAATTTGCATTAAATAAATAAAAAAGTAATTTTGTATTGTTTTCGAAGAGCAACATATGGGTGTAGATTTGTTCAGAAAAGAAGGGTTTAATTTTTTTTGCAGTGTTGTCATTATATTTTGTGATTTACCTTCGTGTTTAACCAAAATCCTGCATCACAAAATGTGTTGGTCTTTTTAAAAAATGACTGTCATTCCCGGTTGTGGGCACCTTTATGTTAAGGAGGCTCTACCATCTGACAATGATGAGGACTACTGTCTCATCTATCTAAACTTTCTGCCAAGGAAAGTGACAGCCGCAAACTCCATTAAATGCGATGAATATAGTCGTTCAGTGCATTAGAAGTGCGTTATGGTATGCGTACTAGCTACTTCACATGAAGCATTATGCTTTTGTTAGCGATGAGCATAGTGTGAAAACGTGTCATCATTTTTGTTCTTTATCCCGGCAAATTCTCTTAAAATAAAGAAACTTTCATTTCTTCTTTATTTGTGTTGGTTTCCTTTAATATTTTTCCATTTTTAGCGGATTTTTCAAGGGTGCCCACAACCGGGTACAAAATTTTTTTTGTCAAAAAATTCCCATTTCACTAAATTTCTAATAAAACTTTTTTATTTAAAGGAATCAATTTAATTCCTTCACTGACAGTCACCTTAGACCTCTAGCTTTAAATTCGTACACATATATTTGTATAATATGCACATGGACAAATGTTATGAGGCAAAAACAAAAGGGTGCCCACAACCGGAACACTTCCCTTACTCCTAATTTCAAGCCGTTCTGTAGACGCAAAAATTTAGTATAAGTAGAATGTAAGAAAAATTCCACGGGGACACTTGTAACGCTAGTATTAAGGCAAAAGACAAGTGGAGTGTATAAATAAATAAAATTAATGTAGGAAGCAGGCAAACATAAACTTCGGTGAAGTTCACAAATGTTTATGATCAACGATTGAACGAAGAAAAATATTTTTTCTGACAAAAATAACAAAATGTTTTATTTACAAATTTTTCTTTTTCAAATTAATAAACAAAAAATTATGCAAATCATTTTTTATATAAAAATATAAATAGAAAAATACTTTTTCTTCTAAATCGTTGATTACAAACGTTGTAAACTCCACCAACGTCACTATAATAATTGAGGAGCTGGATCGAAGAACCGGCTCTTCGATCCAGCTCCTCAGTTACAGAAAAAAACAGAAAACGTGGTTTACCTGAAATATTTTATTTAACTACTTTATTTTATTTTATACTTTTTTCACTGTATTTCATACTAATAACAAAATAAAGTATATTAATGTATTTAACTTAATTTTAATTGATCAATTAAATTAATTTCAAAGTTTGCAATTCATTCAGACTGTAAAAATAATTATTATTTCAAAATGTACAATTTACGAATTTAGAAACAGGCCTCGAATCGACTTTAAAATACAAAAAAAGTCGAAAAAGACGTTTATTTTATTTATGTCCCAAAAGTTAGCGTCGACACTTAGCATCGAAAAACTATTGTTTGGACTTTTTAGAGATGAAAATGTTACTAATTTTACTTCTTTCATTCACCTCGAAAGTGAAAAATATGTTCAAGGCACTTTTTTTTAACCTGAAACCTTAAAAAAAATTGTTTTATTTTCTTCATTTTTGAGAAAAAAGGCTTTTTGCCGCTCAGCATCGACATTAACTTCAAGACATTTGTGACCTAATGTAAGGGACAGTGTGTGACATGGGGGAACGGGGGGGGGGGGTTCAAAATTACTATGTAATTTCAATTCTTTGATTCACCTAAAAAGCTAAATTATCTTTCAGGGCATTCAAGACACATTTTTAAACTAAAATCTTCACAAAAAAAATAGTTTACAACCAAACTGTAACTGGTAACAAAAATTTAATTATTTTCTGAAATTTTTAATTAAAATTCTTCTCTAAATCAATTATTTATAATAATTTTCCGAATGTTTTTCGAGAATTCGATTATTTAAATACAAAAATTACAATTTTTATATTTAGATACTCGTATTTTATTCATTAAATCTATTATTTGTAATAATTTTCCGAAAGTTTTTTGGTAATTCAATTATTTAATCAGGGTGTCTAGTATTTTCGTTCAACAAAATTCCCGGTTATTTCCCGGATTTTCCCGGTTATGTCCAAATTTTTTCCCGGTTTTTTTTCTCATCAAATTTAAATTTAAATTTAAATTTGATTTCGAAAATAAATAAATCTTTAAATTTTTTTAATTTTTCAAAAATAATCTTGTCTCTTTATAATTATAATTGAAATTTTGATTTTTTAATTTTATTAATATTATATTGATAATAATTGAATTTCTGCAAAAAAATTTCACTATTTATAAAAACAATTGAATCCTTCCAAAGAGTGCTATTATTTATGAAAATAATTTAATTCTTGTGAAGAATTTTATTAAAATTTTTGAAAATAATAATCATTAATAATTAATTATTTACTTAATAAGTAATAAACATTTAATCAGAAATTTAAAATTATACACGGAGAAAAAAATGCTGTTGAATCAATGACATATGGGTTTGATTCATTGAATAGTGTCATAACGGGCTGCCTAACGTATATGCTGTTGTTTTGAAAGCACCGATTCTAATGATTCGATAGTATCACTTTCTTTGAAACAAAAGCATATTTCTCAAATTGACAGCATACTATGTTAATTCGAAGGTATTCCTTTTGAATCAATGAACAAAATTTTTTAATTTAACAGTATATGCTTTTGAGTCAATGACTATAACTTTTAAATTTAAAAGCATCATTTTTATGATTCAAAAATTTGTACTTTTAATTTTTTTAGTTGTTGCTATCGATTGAATAACACCATACTGTTAATTCAATTCTTTTATGTGGTTAAATATATACTAACGATAAATTGAAAAAAGGGAATTTTTGTTCACATGTTTTTTATATACTATAAATTAATTCTCACACCTTTAACATAACACTTTTTATACACATCTTTTTTTCAATTTTTCACACTAACATATACACATCTTTATTATTATTTTTATTTTTTCCAACGGCTAAACACACACACACATACACATTCAAACACACTTATCTTTTTTAGTCAGAAAAATACGGCTATTCCCAAGCGGTCACCCATCCATTTAGTAACCGCGACCAACGACGCTTAACTTCCGTGATAGACGAGAACCGCCGCGCTGCAATGTAATACATCCGCTTCTCAACGTTGGGCACTTACTTTGTGGTTAAATACCGTGCTCGAGATTTTTCGCGTATATAAGGGAATTTATATAGTGAATTTATATTTAACTAGTCATTAATTAATTAAAAGAATTTAAATAATACTTTTTTATATTAGAATCTCAAAAATGACAGGTTTAATAAACATATAAATATATGTGGGTAAGTATTTCAATAAATTTAGTACCTGTCAATGTCTCAAAACATAGTGTTCTTATTTTTATAGCATATGCTATAGGCAGTCCGCAATAGCACCACTCATTGAAACGAAAGCATATGCTTTCGTTTTCAGAGCGCGCTTCTTTAGAGCAAACAATTTTTCATTTGATTTAAATTTACATGCATTTTCTTCAAATTTATCTATTAGATGCTTCAAATGAATAATGTCAAAGAAGCAATAAATTATTCTGTTGCTATATATAGATGAACTATAGAAACAATTTGCACAATATCATTAATTCTACAGTACCGTACTTTTAATTTAAACAGTTTCATTTTTTCGTTTTAAGCAATATACTTTTCGATTAATATAAATGTGTCATTGAATCAATGACGGGGAATTCAATAGCATGGAGATATTTGATTCAACAGCACTTTTTTTTCAGTGTAATTTTTATTGCTCAAAAGTTTTGCAATTTTAAAATTTCAAGTGAAATGAATATAAATTCAAAATCTAGAAATCTCCACAATTACAAATATCTAAAATTTATTGTAAAAACATTTTTTTAAGTAAACTGTAACGTATCTCGAAAACCGTAATTGTTAAATAAAAAAGGATATCATCCCAGGAGGAAAAGTCGGACGAATGTCGGATTATACAACCGCCTGGGATCCGCGCCCGTACGGACCGCCAGCACCGATGGTCTGTACCGATTCGGATCCTAAAATGCAACCGGCGCGGAACAGATTAGGCTCCGACTTTTGGATCCGCCTTTCTACTTTCGTCAGTACTGGCGCGGTGCTGGATTTGTTCCGCCTGCAGATTTCATTCTTCTACGCACGTCGGAAGAATGACGGATGTTAGGTCTGTACTGGCTCGGTGCTGGGGCGGATCAGACTGCGGATCTCGTCATTTATTGTTATAGTTTACATTATCAGTATAATCATAAATTTATTTTATTATTATAATTAATTATTACAATAACTAATTGCATTTATTATAATATTATTATTAGTTAACCAATAAGTATTCATGCAAA